CCTACCTCTGTCTTTCGTTCATTATACTCTATTTTTCGTTTACTCATTCAAGGAGAACAATGAAAAGAGAGAAAACAATTTTGCAAAATATGACACACCACAAAATTTCAAATGACAAAAGACATACGCGCAGTAGTGGATTATTAAGCGATAAATTAGGTTTATTTTTTTTTTGTTTTTTTTTTTTTTGTTTTTTTTAATAAATTTCCTAAATATATTAACGAAACTGATTATTGGCTTGATCCGCCACTGCACAACACATTTCTATAAGGTACGGTAAATGAAATTGATAAAAAATACGAAAGCCTTGTAGAAAAGTTATTATAAGTTTTCCCTTGTGAACGCTATTAAGTGCAGCGTACCTTTATCTATTATGTATATGTACCCCTGCAACGAATACACACGAATGCAGATTCAATCGTCACGCACACTCTCGTATACATATTTCTTTTGTCTTTGCATATTTTCTCGTCTCTACAAACGCATATCCACGTTTAGAATCGTTTAGAAATCGTTTAGAAATCGTTTAGAAATCGTTTAGAAATCGGTGGTCTACATGGAAGCGCCCTTTGAAATGTTCTTCGCAGATACGCGATCGTAGGAAATGCTAATCCGAGTCGTTTCGCGTGATAACGCATTTTTGCTTGCTTGCTTGCTTGCTTCATTAGGCCATCGTTACGTCCTCGCGCGAATTTCGACCTCTACATTGCTTTGTACGTATATTTTTTTTGTTTTTTTTTTTTTTTGTTTTTCACCACCGAGAAAGACCAATTTTCTCTCTTTCTCTCTTTTTCATATATATTTTTGTCATTTGAATATGACAGCTCGGTGCAACGAGCACGCAACAGAATTGTGCGCGAAATTGTCCAATTAAAACAACAAGAGATCTCCTTCTCTTTCTCTTCCCCTCTCGATATATATATATAACTTAAAGAATAATGCGATAAATCTATCGTACGACGTAGTAAGGACGCTTAAGATCGGATCGAAGATTAAACGATGTAGTCGTTCTAGTCTTATCTCAAACGTCACGAGAAATAGAAAAGAATTTACATAGTTGCATTTTTGTAGACCGGCAGTCAATAATATTTAACTTTTAATCAATCGTAAACGGTCATCGTGGTCATATTTACGGGAAATATTTACGTCCAAGTAATTACAATCGAGTTTCAAATGTTTATTAACTCATATTACTACTTCCTTTTGTACTCTTTTGTTTTTTATGAGATTTATTGTGAGATGGTCAAAAGTGAACATTCTTATTATTGTCTGCCGGAGTACAATACGTTCCAGTCTTTTCGATATGACACTGCTAAACGATCGATCAATCAATTATCGATGATACCCACGCGACGACGATCGTACGCGTCCATGCACGCGTGCATACATACATACATAAATATTTCACCATGTGTGTGTGTGTGTGTGTGTGTGATGTGTACTTTTTTGCGTTCTCGCATATAACACACACAACATACCTATTTTCGCGTAAAAGTTACTTATAAATAATCGCGCACGTTACGTTTGCGGGCTTCGCTAAATAATATCTATATATATACACGCACACACACGCACACAATACAATTATAGATTAGCTTGACATTTACCTATAGAGCCTATTATAAAGTTGTATTTTTCATCGCGTTTTCATCCAACTCTTACGTATATACCTAAATACAAAGTAAAATCTGCTTAATTTTCCGTGTGCATTTGTGTCATGTATGTCAATGCGTGCATTTCTTGTATGTGAGACCAAAGTGTACGAATGAAGTGACAGTATTATGTATTGACAATATGGTTTAGTAACATATTCGCTCGTTTATTTACTTACATACTTGACAAATATCCTACAATTAATTTCTCTTAGGCATAAATACGCTTTAACTCTTATGCACCGCTCTTCTTCTTATAGATCGTTTAACGTTATCGTGGAAAAAGTACATTGTTAATAGTAATAGTTGGAGTAAAAGTAGTAGTGATTGATTAGTAGTAATAGTATAATAGTGGTGTAGTAGTAGTAATAGTAATAGTAATAGTAATAGTAATAGTAATAGTATAGTAATAGTAATAGTATTAGTATTAGTTTAGTAGTACCGGTATTAGGAGTAATAGAATGAATCAGCAGCAATAGCGATAGTAGGAAGAATAATGGGAGCGATAGCAGGGATAATAGTTGTGACAGTAGTCGTAGTAGTTGTTGGTAGTAGTAGTAGTAATAATAGCCGATAATAGCGTTATTGGATAATTAATAGTATTAATGATGAAAAGATCATTAATACCATTCGTCGTCATTCGACCTTATTCGTACGAAACAAAAGAGTCTAAGAGAACTAAAAGGAAAGGCTTTTTAAAATACGCGTTTGCTTGTTTATATATGTGCGTTTTAAAGGATAATATTTCTTCGAGTCTCTTCTGTAGCAGATCTATCGATCGTTTCGGCCCGCGAATTCGATCGTTCCTCCCTTCAAAAGGCACGAGAAAATCTTTCATTACTTCTCTGTATGCGTATGCATGCATATCTATATAGATACGTATATATATATATATATATATAATCGTAAAAAAAAGCACATTCAAACGAATATGTATATATAAATGTACATATATTATAATACGAGGTAAAAAGATCCAAACTGTTAACTTTTTGTTCTTCTTTTCTTTTCTTTTCTTTTCTTTGCACATATCAGTCGATAAAGGGTGGTTGATTAGGAAAGAACGATCGACGTCGCTGACAGTTGCGATGAGTTAGTTGCGATGAGTTTTCTTATTACAACAACAACGTATATATGTATCTATGCATGTACGCACGCACACGGAAAAAAACTACCTTTATGTATATTATGTATCTAACGGAGGAACGAAAAGATTGGGCTACGTTATAATTTGGCACAGATCAGACGGAATACCTTCTCTCTCTTTTAATCGACACCGACTTTGAAACAAAAAAATACGAAAAAAAACTTATTAACAAGTTTATCAATGCGTATGGATATACATATTCGTGTAGATTTTTCTTTTTTTTTTTTTTTTTTTTTCCAGGGAAGGAGAATGCGTATGTCTCTTGTTAATTGATACAAATCTTATCGGATGTTAAACTTACGAGAGTGCATATTTTGATTCTATTTGTTGTCGTCTTCTTTAAATCATTATTTTTTAGTAATTAACTTTCGTTTTCTCTCTTACACGCACACACGCGCACAGATGCATTCTTTCTTCTCTCTCTCTCTCTCTCTCTCTCTCTAGAATAATCATATTAATATCGAGAAAAGAAATGAAAAATATTCGTACGCTTTATCTACTTTTTTTTTCTTATAATCGCAGATATATCATAGAAAAAAAACAAAAAACGCAAATACGTTTGTATTATTTACGGACACGTATACGAGGTGTGTATTAATTTAAAAACAGTCACGAACTTTATACGGGCTAATAGAATCGATGATTATTTTTGTCGATGAACGTACGCCCGGAAATGATATTCGATATTCAACAATAGTCAATTTTCTTTCTTAATAACAGGTAGATACTTAGGTACGTGTTAACTTGCACGCTCTTTCCTTACCTTAGATTAACAACTATGAACTATGAACGAATGCGTGCACATTCTAAAAAGAATGAACTTTGTATATATACAAAAGTGTACCGCCTCGCGAAGAATAAGTATTCTTATCGTAAAAAAATCATCTTACTTACTAATAAACTAAATATATTTATCGAGAATTTTTCATCTTCGGACGTAAGTACATACATTTATAATGAATTTAAAAAACAACAAACAATTCTATAGTTTAGAATAAATACATAGCGCGATACATAGTAATAATAATAAAAATAATGATGCTGATGATGAGGATGGTGATGATAATAATAATAATAATAATAATAATAATTGTAAGTTTAATGTATGAAAACTTTAGATATATATATATATATATATAAAACAGTAATGCAACAATTAATTTACTGTAGTTAATTATAAATTTTCTTATCCCTTTGTTATTTTTGTAGTTTGTCCGCTAAAGGAAAAAATGATGCGTGTTTCATATACATTCATTTGTCAATGTATAACACAAATAAAAAAAAATGACACAATCGATAAACTCCTAGATAGAATATAAAGTATTTGCTTAAAGGAAGATACTCGTCGTCGATCGAATGATCAATTATAAAGCTATATCAATTTTCTTCTTTTCTCTCGTTCAAACGATTTCTATAAGCCCGTAAGAAACTTCATAGAAAATTTATATACACCCCGTATATATCATATAAATAGACGGTACGAAAATCCTTACTTAACTAGAGACACTGCTGCAAATAGATACTCGTCTTAAAGCTAAAAGAGAAAAAAAAAACAAATGAAATCCTCGTGTATCCTTTTATTCCCCTCACCAGCCAGCCCTCTCTCTCTCTCTCTCTCTTTCGCACGCACTTGTACACACAGGCAAGCAGATGCAACAGAGCATCATCCGCTTGTTCTATTACTAGGAAACCAGGAAGAGAAGGAGGTGGTTAACCGGTAACCGTGGGAAGGGCGTTTTTAAGGATCCTTCGAGATTCGGACGACGCAGAAACGAGGATAGAATAAAGTATGTACAAAAAGAAAAAGAAAAAGAAAAACAAACAAGAAAAGAAGAGAATAGAAGAGAATAGAAGAGAAGAGAGACGATTCAACGACGAGGATTTTTTCTTCGATCTTTGCTCGATCTGGCCCTCTAATATTATCCAACAAAATCTTGAATTTATCGTCGAGACGATGGCATAACTACGAACCTCATTCTTAGGAACATACGTACACATTAACGTCCAATTATGGTAGGACTACGTACTACGATGAAGTCCTTCGCCGCGACCACATTAATAATAATACAGTAATAGTAATAATAGAATGAATATGAATAGAATAATGAATACGATCATTAATATGAATAAATGAATAAATGAACAATAATAATAATAATAATAATAATAATAATAATAATAATAATAATAATAGTAATAATGATAATAATAATAATAATAATTAATAATGATAAAGTTGAATCGTGACGAAGCACGAGTCCTTATTAAAAGGCGAGAAAATAAAGGAAGAAGGTCTTTTTTCGAGGATAGATTTGCGTCGCGATTAACTACTCAGTGCACGGTAGAACGCGCGAGTAGGGTGGATCACGAGTGTTTCACGACAATAACGCCGGGCCGTTGTTGGGCCTGTTGTTGTTGAGCTTGGAACTGAAGAAAGTTGTTAACGTCGTTAGCATGAAGAAGTCGTTGCTGTTGGTGGTGTTGAAGTTTCGTCGTCGTCGTAACAGTAGTAGTAGCAGTAGTGGTGCTGTTAGCAGTAGTAGTAGTAGTGCTACTACTACTACTACTACTACTACTAGTCGTCGTCGACGTATTACTACTGTACGACGTCGAACAGTTTGCCGTCGTTGAGTTTGACGAATTTTGATTTGCCAAAGGTATCGTCGAACTTTGTTCGCTGCCCGTTGTTGTTGTTGTTGTTAACTGTAAACTCGATGTCGAAGTCGAGTTCGTAGAAGAACACTGGTTAATCGTAGACTTGTTTGTCGTCAATGCCAATGGCTCGTTCGTCAATGCCAATGGTTCGTCTCTAAAAAGATGGTCACCTTCGAGATGGCGAATTGCCTCGACGATCGTTTCCAAATTTTGTCGGGACGTATTTGCGAGATAGAGCCTCGCTTGTGGTGTGCCATCGTCCAACGAGTTAGAAGACGGCGACGGTAATCTACGAACAAAAACCAACCAATTTATTTCCAATCATAAATATTTCATTTGTTTTCGTTTTTTTTCTCTCTTCAATTTACCTTTCGACTTCGACTTTGGGTTCTGCCTTCATTGCAGCCTCGAGTACGCTTGGCAATCGTTGTGGTTCCGCGGGAGGCGAGAAAGGTCTGCTCGGACTGGTCGTGATATATTGCGGCGAAGCACTTTTAAAATCAGCATTAGATGAGCCATAAGTAACGCGACTCGACGAGGAAAAGGAATCAGCAGTAGTTTGTTCCTCCAAACTCGCAAACACTGGATTCTGAGCGAAAGCGACGATTTTCGGACTGCTCGGTCTGGATTCCTCTTCTTTTAACAGTTCCTCCGTTGGTACCACCAAATCACCAGTGGGTTGAGGAGACAACGGAGGCGAGCTTGGTTCGGGACTCGACGTTTCTACCGTTTGAGTCGAACCCACCGCTGGTAATGACATAACCGATACCACTTGCAATGCTGCAACAGCTTCTTCGGTTTCTTGATTCATGATGTTGTCCGTATGTTCGATTACCTAAATGCAATAATAGGAAGATTATAACTTAACGTCAAATGGTGATGAAGTTGATGAAAGCCTAATAGCACTATTAGGCTTTACCTCGTGAGGTTGATACGCTATCATCTGATTATCTCGAAATCTTTCCGGATACAGTTGAATCTGAAAGGCTCTCATCTGCTTCTCCAAATGCAGTCTTGCGTGACGTTCTCTCTCCAACTGTCGTCTAAGCTCGACGACCTCGCTGCTGCTAACAACGGAATGGCCCTCCGTTGTCACAGTAATTACGGAAAGAGGCTCCGGGGACATACTGCCCAATCCTTCGTCGCCGCTCTCGCTTACGTGCACCGGTAAACTTACAACAACTCCTGTAAACATAACGACGTACATACGAGTATAAACAACAAATCATCTAATATTTTCAAACTTCCTACTCCAAATAGAATAATTTACCTTGATTATCTGGTTTACGCTTCTTTATAGGTAAATCGCCACCTTCGTGTTGATTTACTAGTCGTTTCAATTGACAATTTTGTGACAACAATTGTGTTTTTTCTTGCTCTAATTGGTAAATATATTCGGCAGTCTGTTGAAGTATCGCTGCCTGTAACAACAAAAGAGATCCATATGTAACAACCCAATGTTTCATTATTAATTTAAACTAATCTGAAATTTCAGTGGGAGAGGGAGCACGCTACATGATCGCCATTGGCGATTAATTGAACACCTAAAAAGACACGTGTCTGTAGTACGCGTAGTATATACCAGGTACCAACCAAGGTACAGGTGGTGATTCTTACGCACTATATTCAACCTGTACAGGAGTACATAGATAGGGACTTCCTGTTTACGTGAAAGAAGTTTCAAAGGTTTCATCAGACGATAGTCTCAGATGCGTAGTACGCACGCACGAATCGATAAAAATGGCTAAAGGGTCGAAAACATAAAGGGCCAGTTGACACCGAATGGTAGGAAGGTAATGGAGAACGGGAGGACGGGTGCACGGCTAGCACCTGCCGACAGGTGGCTAACGAGAGCCAGATGTCGATACGGTGTCGATACGGTGTCAATACGGTGTCAAGTTAGAACTTTTATGTTAAACAAATCTCCAACACATATTTGATGCAATATTTTGATCGGTATAAGAAGCGCGAGGAACAGAAAATAAGATAAAACTAAAGACGAATATATTTTCTGCTCGATCAGAGTTACGACGCACGTGCCGAAATTTCGTTAACACCGTTCAGCAAAGGGGCCAAGGTCGTGCCATGCTGCTTTCTAAGAAATCGGTTTGCGCTTGCTACTTCTATTCTAACGAAAATTTCTACCTCGCGATATAGTTGGAAGAGAAACTACTCTCTCCCAGCAAGATCATTCCGTGTTGGGTTCTTCTTGTTGCGCAAGCGATGGCGGCAGCGGCAGCGGCGGCATTCCAAAGACCGGACACGATGTGCAACACGAAGAGAAAAAATATCTACACGGTTAACCGACCTAACGCGGGTATTATTCTCATCAAAATTCTTTCTTTCTCTCGCAACGCGTCATTTGTTCATATCGAATAACACAACTAGGAATATCTCAAATAATTTGGTATTAAAGAAAAATCTACGAGTTATTGTCATGTAATGCAGAAAAATAGGAGACGCATAAAATAATCATTTTCGAATTCCTCCAGAAACTTGTCATTTCGCAATTATTCGTAAACTCGTAGTTCATTCCATGCAACAATACTTTTACAACAATGCTCATTAAAACTTCTTAACAAAGTGCAAAGTATTTTACAATAGACTGGAAATATAAAGATGATATTTTTTAAATACATAATGTCATTTGTAAAGAACAATTATTAGGTATGAAAGATTGGAGCGTAAATTTGAAAAAGTCTGACGGCGACGATGCGGCATTCGAGACAACCGCAAGGTTGCGGTAATATGTCGAGAGAATTCCGTAAAACATCTCTTCTTAACGAAGCACGTAACTAAATAAGGTTCACAGAACTCCAAGGAATTACGAATCTATTAGGAATCTATTAGGAATCTATTAGGAATCTATTAGCTTCCCATAATTTTTCTCTAATTTGTTCAAAGCATTTTTTCATTGCAATTGACAAAGGCTTCATTAATCATTAAGGCGATCATTAAGGCGAGCAACAAAACACCTGCAATTGCATAACCTCGGGGCCTTGGCCGTGAATCTAATGAATTACCTAGGGTTTTTCCGTGGCAGATTCTACGCTCGCTGCCGTTATCGGTAGACGTCGAGCAACCAATCGGATTCGATTACGCGTCGTAAGACGTAATAGAAGAAAGGCGTCTCATAGATGGAACCCGCCATTGCTTAGTTTGCTTAAACTTATCTAGTCTCATCGCGTTGCGTCTGTGCTACCCAATATAACGTATGTCACTCGCGAATTATTTATTTTAAGTTGAGATTGATTTTGACGTAGCTAAGAACTTAAGTATTCGATGTGAAATAGAAGGACAAGGACGACGGAGCTGGAGAACGTGCTCGTCGTCGTCGTCGTCGTCGTCGTCGTCGTCGTCGTCGTTGTCGTTTCTCCGCGAAGCAGAGTCAGTGGACTCGTCGACGACCCTGACCTTGCCTCCTCTCGGACAAGGACAGCGAGATATGCGAGAGCCAGCAATGCGCGACGATACCGCCAACGCCTAAAACCCCTTCCTCCAGTCTTGTAGGAGGTTGCCATATCAACCATTCCGAATTTTGGTTTGTTACATCATTTACTTCTGAACAAACAAAATGAAATTACCAAGCCCTCGAAAAACTCGAATATCCACTGCTATTTCCAAACTATTTCCAAAACCCGGACCATTAGGGGACATCGCAGGTATATGATTTTGTGAAGAAAAAAGCAAATGCGATTGCCGAAGAAAAAGAATGTATTTTTGTTGGACGATGTAATTCGAGCTCGATGCTCCCCGATCAATGTTCTCCAGGCAGGCACGAAAATTCCAGGGTTGCTAGATAGCTCGTCGCAACATCGTGCCGCGCCCTAGTGGCGAACAAACGTGCCAACTTGGAACATGTAGTAGAGGGTGAGGATACAATTGCTTGCAAAAGAAACTAACTTTTCTTTTATAGTAAAAAACACAATATGGCAACGTAATCGGGTGTCAGCGTAAAGCTAATAATAAAACAAGAAGAAATAATAGGATGTATCTTGACAATTGTTTTGTATAAAATCGTCTCCAATGCAAAATGGTTAAATGAAATCATTTGGAAAGGTTGAGGGTAGTGTTTGAGATTGGTGGGTAGCGTTGCAGCAACATTGGTCTCGGTATAGCATTCGAAGATTCGTCGATAACGAGAGAAGAGTGGGCGGGAGAAGTACGTTCCTCTCGTGGAAATGGTAGAGGGAGGAGCAGTAGTAAAAGCTGAAAGGTGGGGTGGGCGGGTAGCATCGATAGTACTATAAAAGGTGATAGTAGTAGGTGCTTGTAATTCTCCCGAGTGGGAGGAGTGCGCGCACACACAGATCTTGCTTCCTTGCCAAGAGTTTCTAATGAATGGTGGATCGTCGTCGTCGTCGTCGTCGTCGTCGAAACGGGGCAACGCCCTGTCACCCAGCTGACTCGAGTGGACTAAAAGCTCCAGTCAAAAATCTTCAAAAGACACATTTTCATTGAAATTCCAATTTATCTATTCTCTCTCTTTCTAACAACATACTTGACTCGATGCATTCTGCAAGAAACATAGATGACTTAAGAAAAGGGTAAACAGGGACCAAAATTTTTGATAGAAGAACATATCATTGTTATCGTTGTTGCTGGTTGTACAACCCTAAAGAATTCCTACATATCGAAGCTGTGTCAGAAGTGGTGCATTCGAGATACAAATATATCTGAGGAAAACAAGAATGCAATTGAGTTTCCGCGGTAGAACAGTAAAAGTGTGACGTCACGCCCAGCTCATGTGGCACTTTAGTAGGGAGAGTACTAAATGAGCGAGCACCTGGCGAAGGCGCTGCAGTCGCGTAGTAGTAGTAATTGTAGTAGTAGTAGTAGTAGTAGTAGTAGTAGTAGTAGTAGTAGTAGTAGTAATAGTAGTAGTAAGAGTAGTAGTAAGAGTAGTAATGTAGTAAGGGGCGTCGCGTCGCCCGGGCGAGTGGAATATATCGATCGACGAGGGCTCCCTTTCTTCCCAAAGAGAACCACCACGCAAACGATGACGTCACGCGCACCGTCAGCTGCTACTCCACCAACTACTCCCTGCGAGTGATCCTGTAAACCCCGGCGGCCCTGCTTTTCCGCCCTTTCCAGAGGAGATAGGTCGGGTTCGATCGTGCGCTCCTATCCCAAAAGCAAAAAATCTTCCTACACTCTTTCCAACTATTATTTCTAAATTATTCTTGTGAAGAACGAAGAAATGGAGAATAGGGCAGCACGAAGGGCGAGATATGATTTTTGTCGTTACGTCCATATAGCGGAGCCTACCTCAACTCGTCATCTATCTTTGTTCCGGAAAAGCGCGCGTAACGCAAAGGCGGAGGTGGAGACGGAGACGGAGACGGAGGTGGAGGCGAAAGCAAAGGCAACGGTGCGGCCATTTTGATCTCCGCGAGAGACAGGAAGTTAACACTACGATGTGTATGCGTACTTGTCTGCCTCCGAGCGGAAGTTGAGCCAGACGAAGCAACTCCTCCTACGGGAGTCATTGTCTCTAGTACAGTGGTTTTCAAAGTATCCTCCTAAACGCGCAAGGAGGATGCGTTAGAGTTCGCGCTTGAAAATCTTTCGATCGGGTTTGAAAACCACTGTTGCGACGCTAGGAATTCCTTCTACTCTCGTTGTACCCTTCCGCCTAAGCGTACTATTACATTGAGGGGACGCGCTAGATAATAAAAGTTTGCTTTCACAAGGAAACCTATGCGGCGACCGCGCGAAAAGTCCATTCACCGATTAAATAAGGAGCATTTGTTAATGCTTATGATTGCATTAGCCACTTGATGATCCATTATAAATGATGATTGTCAAATAAAAACGAATAAAAGATTGTTTTTAAATATAGAAAATAAAATGCATCATCGGTCAGGCGATTGTTCTGCTTCCTGTGACGTATCGCGTAACTTGGATTGAAGGAGATACTCGATTTGCCTGGTACCACCAGACACTGACCGTTTCCTTCGCGAGCATGCACTAACACCACTACCACCACTACCACCACCACCACCACCACCACCTATCTATGCAGATATTCGCATACATAGAAAGTATGACGACGCGTCAGAAGGACGGACGACCGTAGCGCGCACGGATTCCACCACGGATTCCACCACGGATTCCACCACGGATTCCACCACGGATTCCACCACGGATTCCACCACAAATTCCATCACGGATCGCCTACGTTTCTTAGCTTTTCCTTTTCCTTTTTTATCCTCTATAATGAACATACATTCATTTGCAACGCTAGGATCTATTTTATCACAATTTATTTCTTCTACACTAGCAAAGCAAGATTTTTATTACCGTGCATTATCTCTCAAGTAAAGAGAGATAATAGATAAAGATCGATTGCCGAGCATCCTAGAGTTGAAAAATATTTCGAGAAAAAAGAATTTTCCCCTTTCCGATGTTCTTTAACGAATGAGGTTTACCTTGTTCGCATTCCATCTAACTTCTTTGCGCATACAATTTACATAAACTTAGCGTAAATCGAAAAAGTAAAGCTTTAGTAAGAACTAAAGCTTTTATTATAGCTACTACGTGTACATATGCGCACAATAATCTTCTATCACGACTATAAGAAGGTGAGTTTACGTTACGCAAAGGAAAAGAGAGAAGGGAGTTGTTGGATTGCTCGCGCGAGCATGACCCGCGCAACGTTCCACTCTTCGAATGCCACGTTGGATCCTCGTCTTCGTCGTCGTCGTCGTTGTCGTCGTCGTTGTTATCGTCGTTGTCGTTGTCGTTGTCGTCGCTAGAACGTGAGAGAGAATAAAATAGAAAATGACTTTGTTATAGCCTTCTGCATACCTACGTCATGCGACGATGCTAAAAATAATATTGCATTGAGTGTACGGAGTACATTAGAGTAGTATAATAAATGTTGCTGCTCTCTCCCTATCTTTTTAAAAGTTGTCTTTTTAAAAAAGACATTTTGATGAAGAAGATTTTTGCCAACGTCCTATATCCCTATACGAATTTGATTTCCTCGACTTCCGGTAGTTTATCGTCGTACATGGCCATAATAGAAATTACACGCGGTGGCTCGCGATATTGGATGATGGCCAGAGCGACGGGAAAGGGTTAAAGTCAAAGTTACGAGTACGAAGAGCGCGTTATTCGTTTATACGCCGCTCCTAACTCTTTGCTTCCTGTAAAAAACAAACATATTTCATTTTTACATGTTTTTTTCTTTTAGAAATTTAGTTAAAAATAATTAATATGCGCAAATATGAGATCAATTGAAATCCTTCCCGTGAAGTACCTGAAAGATACTTTACCTTTCGACAACGGTGAAATATAATATATCGGAGTGAAACTCGATAACAGATCGCCTGAAAATAACGTACTTGGCCTGCCTGCCTGCCTGCCATACGATCCCACACACATTTTTCTTTTTTATTTTATAAACTATCCTTAACCATGAGAAACTCGCATATGCTCCTTCTTTCTTACTGTTCAAAAATAAACAAAATGGAGAAAAAAAAAAAAAGAAGAATAGAAGATGTTGGTTGATTTATATAATCTATACAACGGCAAAAGGTTGGGGAAAAATGATTAAGCAATATCTTGCAAACGTCATTAATAATAATTGCATTAATAATCGGACAGAACGTTAACGACATCGTAATTACGGGTCGCAGTTGATTATAATTGTCTTTAGACGTAAAACGTGTTCGTGCTAATACATACTTAATTATGATCGATGGCGAGCCTATGCACACGCCTATATTCCTAAGTATGCGTGACCCTTCGCGTCTGCACTTCTACCCTCTCTCTCTCTCTCTCTAATCGGGGGTGCGTGTTCTCTCCCAATTAACGATCGAATGCAAACCGTTCAAATCTTTCGCCAAGGACAAAATGATAATATTTATCTATAATCTAATTAGAATATATAAGGAAAGTAAATGACTCCTTGCGGCAGAGGGTCCACCACGTTGTACACCTAAGGTAACTGACCAGTCGTAGAGTTTACTTACGCAATTCTTTACGTTTACGTTGGCTAACCGGCTTTACTTAACTATTTTCTTGACACTACACAATAAATACTTCAGTACTTAATAAATTATCTCGAAAATGGACATTTCCAAAGTTGTAACCTTTAAGAAACTTCTGCCAGCAAGTATTTGAAGACCTTATTAAAGAACGTTTTTGGTCAAACTGTAGAGTGGCATTACTCTTTAAGAGAGACGAAGTACACTCGAGAAGGACCATTAATTTCGAATCCAATTAAAAAGATGGCGATCCAATTAAAACGTCGCTGGATAGGCGTATAGTAGAGGACGAGGGGGAGGAATGGCATAGTGGAGTAAAATTTTCATTAACGAAAGTGTATGCTTGCGCACGCGCCTACACGTACGAGGATTTTACTCGAATCGAATGGGTTAAGCGTCGAACAGGCGTGTCGAACAGGCGTCGCGAACAGACGTCGAACAGACGTCGAACAGACGTCGAACAGTGGTTCTCCATGCAATTGTCATCCAACTCTGAACATCTAACTGATATCTCGTTGACAGTCTTTCATATATATAATATAGGGTAATATGTGTAATATGAATAATCGTAATGATCGTATAGGAAGGTAGAAAAGAAAGGGAAATTTGAGAACTACTGGTAGTTGGTATCGGGCGTCATCCGGTCGGTTGGTTGGTCGGTCGGTCGGTTGGTCGGTCGGTCGGTCCGCTTGTTGTACTACTCGAGAGAAGGTGGAGATAAAAGTGGGGGGAGATAGGGGGAGGGGTAAAACTAGCGCATGCCGTGTACAAAGTCGCGACTACGCAATATACTACTACGATGCCGTACTTGGCGTACTACGCCGCTTCGTCTCCGAAAGAACAGGTCGTCGACTCGTATCACGACTCACTGACACGATTTTCCCATTCTTTCTTTCTCCCTTTCATTAATTAACTCAATATCATTTATAATTTGGTTCAATTTCGTCACGATACTAGCTAAATTGCATTCCCAACCATAAACGAAGATAAATCATTAGATCATAGCAATGCGTTGGGATGAAAGAATACTCGGAAAGATTGATTCGAAAATGTCGGTCAAACGTTCCCACTGTGTTCTCGGAGAGAAAGAAAACACTGGAGAAATCGAGCCCAAAGATCCTTTTAAAAAAGGCCAACGTCCCGCCCTTTCCACATTCTTCGAATCACCATCATACGAGAGACCAAAATTTGAGATAGAACAAAAGAAAATGGAGATAATTATTGGTCCATTCGATATTTTGCAGGACGTATTTTGCTCGTCTCTCTTTTTCAAGCTCCTCCCTCCTACTCATCCCTTTTGATATCACCAAGCTAACCAGCCAGTCAGTCAGCCAGCCAGCCAGCCAGCCAGCCAGCCGCCATCTACACCGCCTCTTCTTTCACCTCCAACATCGTACACATTCGTAACCATGGCGATATTGATCGAGGTAGCGAGCAAGCAGGCAGGCAAGCACGCAGGCAAACAGGCAAACAGGCAGAGAAGAAGCAGGCTAGTCGGTTGCTTGCTTGTTTGCTTGCTTCCTTCCTTCCTTCCTTCCTTCCTTTAAGTCTACCAGAAACTCTGGCAGAGTTTGACAAGACGTATCAAAAGATCCCCCTACTGACCGATCCAAACTAGTCTCAATATATATTTTATTGATCATCTAAATGATATTAGAAAGATGATAAGATCTAGGGAGGATCGGTTAATCCACCAGGGACAATGAGTAACATGCGCTCACGCGTACCTAGGGACAAAGAAAGAAAAAGAGAGACGATCGCGGAGGCGCAATAGTCACAAGTATGCACACCCACTCGAACTGCATCCATTCATAAAAGTGGCGAAAGGCCGTAGCTGGGTTGGTCGGTTGGTTGGTTGACTGGTTGGCGGCTGGCTGGCTTGCTACTGACGGCCTCGGCTGCTACGCATCGACGAATACGCGTGCATATGTATGCGGAATGACTTGACGTTACACAGAGATACGTAATGCACTATATAACAATAAGAGAAAGAGAGAGAAATTGTGTGCTAATGGTCGATCGCTATCAATGCGCATAACCCCCCCCCCCGGTCGTAGTAAATTGAAACGGGCTTCCCACGAAACTGCGTGCACGCACATACAGTTGTGTTCTATGTTATTGCCCATATTGCCCATGAACGCTGAGCTTCTATACGACGACTTATTGAATCAGCTGACTTTGAAATTTCTATGCAACGTTACCCTTGATATAGAACGGATGAAAAATGACAGATGCGGGCTTTACAACACGCTGCTCTATATGTTTAGACAAAAATTCAACAAGTATTTCTTTATAACACGTTATTACTCTTTAGAGATACGAGTTTACCACAATGGCTATCATCGAGACAAAGATAGAGTAAGAGAAAGCAGACTCGAGCAAAGTCGCGTAAGGTTGAGGTTGGGATTAAGTAAAGTTAGATCGAGCCGGTAGACGACTAAGGCCTCAAAATAGCGCAGCACTCACTGTCTGGCTATGTGGCTGACTGACTGACTGACTGACTGTGTGTGTCTCTCTTATGTTACTTGCGCCAGTACAACGAGCATCTCCAACTTAATCGACTTTCTTTTTTCCATTTTGAAACATGATTAACCCTTTCAGTACTCACACAAGTACACAATCATATTCAACCGCAAACATTTTCTATTCCCAAGATACTAAAAATCGATCTAATCAACATTCCAAAGGTTATTTTCTATTCGTACCACTGTAAAAGGAACTTGTATTCACTGTATTTATAAATGAGATAAAAAAAGAACAAAATTCCCTTTCTATTAATACTTGGAGCTAGCAACATTTTTTCACGATAGTTTATGTATAAGTCACGCCCGCGCGATGATCGTATCTAATAATTACTAACAGGAAGAGAGATATGTGGAGAGAGGTGGAGAGAGAGAGAGAGAGAGACGCAATAGGCGATAAGCACAAACGTACTCGCGAACTACTCGCGAACGTACGTACGACCATGACCCAAATTTAAGCTTCCTCTCTTCTCTTCTTTCATCCTACGTTCGATTCATTAAAAATTTTTGCGGAAGCTTTTGTGCAAAGTAGAACACAAATCGGATACTTCGATAGAATATATTCCTACGAAACGTAAATGAATGAATGAACATTTGAATAAAAATATATAATCGAAATTCCATGCATCCTATTACTTTCACATATCATGTTTATCGATAAAAAAAAAATAAATAGAGGCAATAGTGATTAGTGGTGTAGTACAGAGTATAACAAATCTTATCATAGAAAGATTTAATCTATAGACTTGGCAAGTGCGAGTGGATTCCTCCGAGTGAGGAATTTGGAAAAAAGAATGACAAGAATGTGAGAAAGGGCAGAAATAGAAGAAGAAGGCACGTTCCGCTTCGTTTCTAAGAGTCGATGCGGATGTATTGTATATATAGCAGGCAGCGTATCATTAAGTCCGCACGTGAGGAAACTTGGCGCCGCGAAAGCTGGGAACGCGTGTTACGCTACGCTACTCTTTCTCTCTCTTAGTCTTACCTCCTTACTACCCCTACCTATATGCCCCTATTATCTTTTCCTTTTTTTTTTTTTATCTTTACTTTACTTTAAATCTTGAGAAGGTGTTAAAGGAAAATTTAGGCTGGCTCGTAACTTTATTTTGAGCACAATAAGTATAGGTAAGTAAGTGGTAGACTGTCGCGTTACACGTGGAACTCTCGGTAATACTGAAAGCAATGCGAAGAAGTAGTCGTGAAACAAGAAAGGTGTACTTTTGTTTTATTTCTGTCTGGAAGGAAAATGGGTCGGGTCGAGGCGCGCTTCTCTTCTCTTCTCTTCTCTTCCCTTCTCTTCTCTTCCCTTCTCTTCTCTCCTCTTCTGTTCGCTTCGCTTGGAGAAACGACCACCACTGTTTCACTCCCGCCAAAGATCTTTCCACGAGTACGTACAAAAGTACAAACTCTGACGCCGAAAAAACGAAAGCAAGGAAAAAGTAACCGATCCCGTTGACTCAGGTCAATCAAAGGATCTCAAATAACATTTTGCCACTAAACAGAAATATAATTATGCAACGATTACATATTTGTAATATATACGAAACGATCAAATCTTATTTATTTCCAACCACGTTTAACCTTAACTTTAACCTTAACTTCACCCAACAACTGCATAAATATGCAACGAAGTATTGTATTGTCTCTAAGATGAATAATGCATTATGAATTAAACAAATGCAACATCATATCTTTTTTATTCTACCATTTGATCTCTTCTTTACACGTGGTGATCAGAAATACGTGAAGTATCATTCTTTTATGATGTTTTAAATCAACAAAAAAAAAAACAAAAAAAACAAAGAAAAAAGAACAATCATAATAATAATGATGATGATGATTGAAATAGAAACACCATTGATCGGTGGAAGGCTATTCGAGATCTTGCTTCTCATGCAGTATCTTCCTCTCCAAACAAAGTGTTTCAATGAAATGATGAGTTGTTATGTGCATACAGTTCGAACGAACAAACAAACTAACAGGGATAAAAAAAAAAAAGAATAAAAATGTTTAAAAGGTAGAGGAAGAGAACTCGTTCGGTGGTAATGAAGCTAAGTAGTAATGAAAGTTGTAGATGATTGTATAGACTTCCTCCAGCACAGATAACATATTGGAGAAAGTATTATATTATTGTCATAGGGGTTCAATTACAGGGTAAAATCAAGATATTGTCCCTGTAAGATTCTAATATGATCAATGATACCATCCGACGAGTCTTGTCTTCGATTTTAATTAACGATACGATATTGGTGGAATCGAAAAAATATCATTTTCAGATAGAAATGTTGAAAGTTTGATTGTAGGCAAGGGTACCTGAAATTTCAACGAATGGATTAGAGTTTCCTTTAAATCAACTAGCTTGGAATCAACTTACCTTGGAAAGTTTCTCGCCCTCGTGATGCGGTAGCAACGTCCTAAGAGACTGGAAACCAGCGTTGATGCTCTGCATGCGACGTCGCTCGTTGCTATTGGCGATTTCTCGCCGTATCCGCTTTTCCTGCTCCATGTGGCTACGTGGCGTGACACGTCCAACGTTATTACCATTCAAAGCAACGTTTTGTCCTCCTCCTCCTCCTCCTCCGCCTCCTCCACCTCCTGGCCCACCTCCAACACCACCACCAGCACCAGCACCAGCACTAGCACCAGCACTAGCACCAGCACCAGCACTACAAGCAACACCAACACCACCGACACCAGAACCGACACCACCACCTAGGCGACGACCTGCTGCTACCGCGTTACTCTTCGATTGTTGTCGTTGTTGCTGATTATCTGCGGCCTCGACGGCCGCTATACTACTCGTCACCGAGCTCTCCTCCACTTTCTCGATGCTACTGCAATCAAACATATACACTATAATAATCAAAGTTAGAATGAATTCAAAATATGAATTAATAAGATATATGTTGTAATAGATTAGATTCACGTAGCAAGTCTTTGCTAAAAAAAGGAATTCGTAGAAATGTGTAAAGATAACACACGCGTGCGTGTACATATACGTCGTAGGCGGCAATCGGTTACAATCAAAGAGACACATACTTGTACATATATGCATGACGATGATATAGAGAGATAGAGATAGAGATAGAGAAAGAGAGAATCGTTGCTGACGATATACGACGTTTGACTATCTCTCTCTCTCTCTCTCTCTCTCTTTCTCTCTCTCTTTTGCTCTCTCGCTCTCTCGCTCTCTCTCTCTCTCTCTCTCTCTCTTATCCTGGGCTCGCGTGAGTCACCAACAGCTGATGGCTGGCGCCACTCAGCTGGTTGTTACCGGTGCCCGAGCGTCGCTATCTCCAACCGTAGCGATCAGCTGCAAGCGAGGGAGAAAGACCTAACGAAAGAACGAAAAGAACCTTTGCAGGAACACGCCATATACAGGGTGTCTCGGATAACATAGAAACTCCAAGATCTATCTGTATACTTACGATTACTCTATCTAGGTCTAGTCGTTTTTTATCAATAACGATTGATAAAGACTGATACTTTCTATCGATAACATGATATATGTATCTCTGATTCGATTAGGGATATTATTTGATTGAATGCGACTCGATTGAAAAATGGAGATGGACCGAGCATAAATTTAGAAATGTGACGTAAGTCGCAATCCGATGGGCGCCACGTCGAGTCATCTGTGCTACGTCTTGTCTTCTTCATCAACCCTTTCATCATTCTTGACAGCATTTACATATAATATGAACAATTGGAAATGCAGGACATGGACAGGATATGGAGCGTGCGTGAGAGATCAACAACACAGACCTCAATGGAAATTATTTTCTCTTCCAAATAACGAAATAAGAATTTTTCGATCTACTTGTTTTTTGCAGCCGTAGCAAAATATCTCAAGACTAACATACTTAACACTCTATACAACTAGATAGCGACGTGTTATGTAGTTACGTCAGAGTTTGCGACAGGTGTTAAGCCCATTCCTAGACGAGGCCGGAAAAGTGCTAAATAAATGCGGTGCAACTGCGGGTTCAACGGCGTATGCAACGGCGTATGCAACGGCGTATGCAACGGCGTATGCAACGGCGTATGCAACGACGATACGATACGATACAATATGATATTTACAATGTCGATTATATTGTCAAAAATGATGATTTTCCAAGTAGGATAAATTTATGCGTGCATCGATCTATTAATTACGCATAATATTATTTAGGAATTTTCTTCTTTTTTTTTTTTTTTGCGATCCTTGTCAATAATTTAGACAAAAGTAGAAGTATATTTTTGGTCTGTATCATCATCATCGTCGTCATCATCATCATCATCATCGTTACGCATACATAAACGTTACGCGATCATTTATGATTCATGTTTTGTAGCAAGGTACGTTTTCGCTGATCACGAGCATCGCGACGATGTCAAACATATGTAAACAAGGAATCGAGCTGATGCACGATGTGTTCTTCGAGTTATTTATAAAAGTCGATTATTGTGTAAGAAACGCGGCTTTTACGTAACGCGCCGGCGGCCGATCTCGTTTCGTTTATCTCTTCTTTTTTTTCCCTTTTTTCACCAGATAAAAGGGTTATTTTCTCACTTGTCCGTTCACCAAAATTTATTGTGACCTGTGCAAGTGAACAAAATATAAAAATGAAAAAAGGAAAACGACAATAAATCTTGTTGTTTTCACCGAAAAAGAAAACGCCTACGCGCACAAACTTAGCAATGATGTAAGAAGAATGGACATTCAAAGATAGAAACAAAAAACGTTCAAACAAATTACATTTAAATATAGAATCAATGAACGGAGAGGGAAACTGGGTAGAAAAAAAGAAATGAATAAAACTAATTCGTAGAAATAAGTGTTCGTGAATCGCGATTAGGCGAACGTAATTCATAAAGTATGTAAGAGATCTCAACAAAAAAAAAATTAAAAAAAAAAAAAGGAGCGAAGGAGCGAGACAAGAAAAACAATCGACCGTCGACTGTCCGCGCCATACTTGTTTGGGCGTGAACCCATGGCCGGCGTACTAATTCACGTCGCTTTCTCATGAGTGTACACGAGCGCGCTCGTTCATTCGAGATTTGCAAAACATAAAGGACGGGATGAATAAAAAAGAAAATGAGTAGGAGGGGCTTGTAAGGGAAGGGAAGGGAAGGGAAGGCTAATAGGTCGCAAGTGAGAGAGAAACGACGCGAATCGTCGCAGGAACGTTGCAGGAACGAAGCAAGTTAAAACGCCGGCCGGCGCGACCGGCCGGCCGGCTTCAAACAGCTGGTCATTGAGGACGGTAAACTGTTGGCTTTGCTAAAGAAGGCAATCGCGAATAGAGCCGAACGAAGTCGATAAGCGTCGTTCGAAGATACCTTGTCGTCCGCCAAACGGAATAACGAAAGAAAAAGAAAGAGAGAAAAGGGTGGGGAAAGGGAAAGGGAAAGGGAAAGAGAAAGAAACAAACTACAGGAACTTCTCGCGATAGAGACGCGTCACGCATTATATGTCCAAAGGTAGAAAGAGAGAACCGGCGATCCGGTAGTGGGAGAAAAGAAAGAAAAAGAAGGGGAAAGACGGATTGGCTAAGAGGTTCGGCAAAGAAGAACAGCCGATGGAAGGGCAGGGACGTAACTAGAGAGAGAGAGAGAAAGAGAAAGAAGGGACGCACACACGTTGGCGCGCTTTATTTCTCTTTCACTCGCTGAAGAATGTCCACCCTCTTCCCCACCCCATCCCATCCCATCCCATCCCATCCCACCCCACCCAACCAACCAAACCAAAGAGAACAATTATATATTGAATTGATTAGAGCGAGAAAGGAATGTCTCTTGAATAAAATAGTATTTGTACTCACCCGCAGAGTTCAACCTCGTGTTCTTCGGTATTTGTTTCGACGATTTCTTCAAGCAAAATTCGATCGTCAGTTGTAAAAACTGACATATCTTGAAGCGCACCGAGAATCCCGGTCCGCGACTCAACAAGCTCCCAGCAGCAGCCGCCGTTGTCGCGGTAGACGCGAGAAAACGTCGCTTCCGCCTCTTCTTCTTCTTCTTCCTCCTCCTCCTCCTCCGCCTTCTGTGCCACCTCCGCCACCTCCTCTTCCTCTTCCTCCGCCTCCTCCGCCTCGTCCACCTCCTCTTCTTCTACTTCTTCTTCTTCTTCTTCTTGTTCCTCCTCTCGTACGACGACACACTCCACTACGGACCGGAAAGAGAGAACGCGCGCGCGCGCGCGCGCACGCTCTCCTTGACACGGCGGCGAATTGTTACGCGTTAATGTCTACGCGTGATACGCGCGACAGACAAGAATGCGCTCTCTTTTTTTCCCTAGTAGCCCCTTTTTTCGGTCTTTTTATACGTTCTTGGTATTAGCAAAGAAAAATGTCAAAACGTCAATAATAAAATACGAATAAACGAGCGATCACAACTGTAGCAGCAATGCACTGATATATTCCACCATTAAACTAGTCACTAGGACGGAGGACGCGCGCTATACGCTCACACACAACGGCCGAACGCGTTTTGTAATGGCGATCTTTGGCGGGAAACAGCTGAGGGCCCCCACGACGCGTGCGAATCACTCCGCCGTTGCCGCCGCCGTTGCCGACGCCGTTGCCGCTAATTCAGGACCGTATGTAGACGCCGGCCGCATTGAGCACCCTGTATCACGATGTCTTCTCGCCGGCTTTCTTCTTCTTTTTTTAATTTTTTTTCTACTTTTCTACTATTACATGTCTCTTGATTCTTTTCTTCTTCCTTTTTTATCGAATTAACTTCTGGAAAGTAAAAAAACGTTGGTAGTAGGTATGTATTATTTGTCTACATTCAATAATAAGCGGCTTTTCTTACCGTGGTCGCATCATTGAATTTTGACATGTCGCACCACATATTACCCTTTTATCAAAACACACTAGCTGAAACACAAGATATGTCAAGGACACGACGAAATTGCATATCTCAATAGGACACACCTTCCCGTACGAAAGTTGCATCAACACAACTTGTGAACCGATTAAAGCAACGCATTGACAACGAGCGTGCGTGAGACTCTAGATGATTACGTCACCATTTGAAAATCTATTCTCTCTCTCTCTCTCTCTCTCTCTCTCTCTCTCTCTCTGTCTGTCTGGTAACACGAGAGAGATCCTCGTTGTCCTCCCTTGTTTCTCAAAAAGTTCGTTGGCCTGTGCTCGGGGCGACTTGCTTGCTTCATGCTACCCTGACATCGAAGACCCTTACTTCAGACCAATCCGAAGGTAGCTCGTCCCTCTCTCTCTCTCTGACACGCAAGACTAAAGGTTGGCGCCGCGTACCCCGTGTTCGCGTCTTCATTCCTTTCCTATCGTCATTCGGCCTTTACCATTAGTCAAATTCTTCGATCGTCCGACGGGAACTATTTTCACGTCGCGCAGCTTTACGCTAAAGGAATGATGCGGCCGCGCGGGAAACATCTGCCAGCTGGCGATGACTCCGCCCATAGAGTACGCCACTATCCCCACTCTGCATCATACATACATACATGGTATAGGCATATAGGTAGCCTATAGTAGGGTGGTAGGGTAATATAGGGTAGAATAGACTTCTAGAGACCTATAATCGACAGATCCTAGAATAGTGCGCTGCTATTCCTTTACTCCTATTCACGTCTCTTCCTTCCTTCGCTCCAATGCTTCCTTCGTTATCTTCTCTTGTCACGATTACACGAGGAAGAGAGTACACAGCGCCACGTAACGTAAATATCATTAATGATGAGAGCTACCGAGTACACGTGTACTCGCTTCACATACCATATATATATATATGTATATATCGTACATATAATATACTTATGTGAAACACGTCTCTTTTTCCAAGCTTTATCACGCGTCTTTCATAATGTGTTTCCCTACGATTTCAATAAAAAAATTTCTCTATTTTTCGTTAAATCTATTAATTTCGCTATTAAATATATTTTTCCTTCGATCATAAACATCGGAGCGATATCAAAATCTCGCATGGGCTTCATAGAATATGTGTACACACACACACACACACACACACACGTTTTCAATCTATTTTTAGATAATTCAATACTTCAATCCTAATCGTTTTAATCATTTTTAAATCGTTTATAATAAATATATAAGGATGTGTGAACACTTATTCATATTAGTTGTAAACAACTGTGCTACCATTTTCCTTCCTTACTCGATATACTTTTTTATTTTATCTTTCATCTTCATTCAATTAAAATCAAATGAAATATTTGTCTTCTTTTTTCTTATTACAAATATGATGTCAAGAATATCATCATTTTCTTGTTTTAAATTATAAGGAATGGTATTACACGCGAATGGAACAACGCTTACGCTATCTTATGTAAACAATGTACTTCCGTCATTATTTGCATGTTTCTTTACAATATGTGTAAAACATTAATCCTTAATCCTTAATTTATTCTTATAAAAAAGAAATATAAGTATTAATAAGCTTATAGAAGAAAAGAAAAAGAAAAGAAAAAAAAAAAGAAAAAAGAAAGCATCAATCCGAATTAGCTTCAAATTTATCAAACCACGATAAATACTTTTATACACTATCATCGAAATATATCAACTGTATTCATATTTATTTCCCATAGAGTTTGGACTATAAGTAAAAAGAAATATATTACACTTAATAGACGATAAGTGGCTTCTTATGGGTTACAATTGTGAATACAGTTTCCGTGGTTGTAACTTGTTTGTAAATAATCGATGTTTTAAGTATGCAAAAGAAATGTCTAAAGAAGCATCAAAATATGATGTGAAATCATTTACAATAAATATCTTCTTATTTTTCTTAGACGAATTTGAAAACGAAAAGAGGCGATAGGCAATATATGTAGACGACAGCATATATGGAAATGGATTATGCTTTGTGACAAAAGCAATCGACCAAATTTCTACTTTTTAATAACGCAGCAAATATCACAGGCTGCATTTAAAATCTCTATGTATTGTAGTATATAATATAATTTACTTTGATATATTATATATGATCTATGACTTAAATTTCCCTGCACCATAATATCCTTTTACACGTGTTTCTTTTGTATCCTCTTATTGTTAGTAACATCTATTTAATGATTGCAATAATACTATGCAGTTGTTCTCTAGTATACGTTCAATAATACTCAAATATTTGGGTAATAAGTTTTACGAGTTTCTTACGAGTTCAATGAATATTCAATGAATATTTTCGGAAACTTTGCCAATTGTCAAAAAAAGCATGAAAAACATAGCTTTTGGAATCCTATTGAAAAGTTTTGTACTTTTTACAACTAAACGCATTAGTATATAGCAAACAATGAATAGAACAGAATAGAATAGAATAGAATAAATATTATAAATGTTTCGCCTTTTCCATTGTCTCTTCTCTTTTCTTCATTTCTTATTTAATAAAAAACATTTATACCTTATTATCAAAAAATTCGATAGAAATTGGATTGTAAGATGGTAGTAGATGCTATTCGATATGCTATGCATTTCCTCATTTATCCTTACAATACATTTTATAAATGTTCACAATCTGTTGAATATAAAAGAAAATGAATATATCTTTTTTTTTATATTTGAATATGAACACCGTAATCAATGTTGTTAATCCTTAACTAATCCAAATGTTCTATTTAATCAATTTCGCTAGATTCTGGAAATTATTTCAACTGTAGTTTGAAGTATCCTTCTTCGTGACAAGGTTCTACAATCAATGGATAATTTGTCTCTTAGTTTATCAACAAAATTTGTTCAAATGTCAGATATAAGGTACAAGTTAAGTCGAGTGTTAATTACTACAATGTTTTGAAAAACAGTGAATAAATAATAAGAGCAACCTGTGTTAGTTACTCTGTGGTACTAAAATAGTATTTTATAAGTCAAAGCTGTGAGTTATTCTTATATTATATTTTATCTATTTTCTTTGATTCATTGTATTGACGAGTAAGTTGCGCATTAATATTGCGTACTTTAACTTGTACGTTCATACAAACGCATCAGCCAATTGGTAATAATTGTCATATGCTATTAACGGCATTCACTTAATTTTTTTCTTCTTCTTCTTCTTTCTTTCTTTTTTACCATTTGCCACTAATGTCTCGATATATTGTATTTTATTCTTAAAATAATATTTACAAACAGAAATATGGATATAACTTACATATCCTTTTAGCTATATGTACAAATGTATTATTAACTGAAATTGTAATCTGGCACAAATGAATGATTCATGTAGTCCATTTAATTATACTGACAAATTCAGATATTAATGGTATTTTTATAATCGTTATTATTTATGAAATGATATCATCATCGATAAACAAATACTATTTTGTACTTTATCATATTACATCATTATTTTATCTTATTTCACTTACTTTGTCTACGTGTAAACTGTAATACAGAATTTCTATAGTTTTTACATCATTTCATTTGTAAATTCTATTTCGGTTGGAAAACATTTCCTTCTGACTTTACCGATAAATGGCTGATGCATTTGCATTCGATGGATTGATTTAACTGAATCATGGATTTACAAATTATGGCAATACAGGGAAAATAACTCGCTAGAATGAGAAAACCTCCTAGGTAAAATAAATCAAATATTTATAAATACAAACACATTTAAAATGCATATATAAAATCTTATCTACATATTAATGTTAAATGTATCAAGTATTCTGCGTTATTTTGTACATAATAATGATTTCGAATAGCTTACTTTAGTGTCCATTTACATTAGCGTCCAAATGTATGTTCAATCAAATTCTGTTCTTAAGTTTTACAGTACGTAATAAAAGAAGATAGATAGAAAGAAAGAAAGAAAGAAAGAAAGAAAGAAAGAAAGAAAGAAAGAAAGAAAGAAAACTTATCATTACTTGTCGAAACGAATTACTGTCAGAAGGGGATATTAAACGCAGTGCAACTTAGATGTAACATGTGATGACTCAAACGTATTCACATGCCTTACCTGTAAATCCATGTTTAATCTATTTCGGTTGAAACTTATTCATAATATCAGCTATATACTAGGTATGTTATAATAATTTTTTTAGTCCTAGTTTCAATCTTTCCTGAGCTGGATTTACTTTGATTTTTAATTGTTGAATAAGATCATAAATTTTTAAAGAAGGTCCAACTTTGAAACCCGTTAGGTCTATTATTTGGTCCTTTGTTAGAGTTAGCAAAGTATTCCCATCAATTTTGCGTTTGCTAAAATTGTCACAATACGTTGCACAATCATTGACACGAAGAAATTGAGCAACATCAAAAACATTCCATTCAGATGGCACCAAATCACCACAATCTGAACCTTTTGGAACAACGTCAGCTATCCTTGGAATATACTTCGTATTTCCCGAAGTTACCTAAAATAATCAATATCTCAATCATAATAATAATAATAATAATAATAATGTTTTGATCTTTCCCTTATAAACAACAAATGTAATAATAAAAACTGAAATTACATTGATGTACGATGTCGCGATTCTTTCTTTGGGTGGTGGAGGGCTTTGCAAATCACTTTGCATATCGCTCAATGCTTGACCCTGTCCACTCGTCGGACTCGGTAAAGTTTGATCAGGACCAGCAGGTTCTTCTGCCGTTTCTGGCTCTCTACTTCCTTGTTCAGGTAAACTCTCAAGATCGCGTTCTCGTTCAATTTTTGTTCCTTGTGCTGGTTCCAATTCTCGTTCACGTTCACGTGCCATAACGCTAATACGTTCACTATGACGAGGTAGAATACTTTTTGCGCAAAATGCCTTGCCTCCTCTTTTTACTTTTTTCTTAGATTTACGTTTAAGGCCTCTTGGTAATTTTACTAAAAAGATTATATTTATATATATAAATGAAAAATAAATAAATATTAATATTTGCGTATGTAAATACCAGTAGGACTAGTGTTTTTAGCGAGTACACGGGGCCCCTCTAATTTATGATCTACGAGATCGCACCAACCAACTGGATAAATATCTGGACTTTGACAATCTAACCATTGATCATATTCATCCTCCCAACCATCAAAATGTACCCTTAATAATCGACCGATCACTCTGGTGATAGTAGCAACGCATACTAATCTAGGATCCATCAAATCAGCTGCTTCCAGTCTCATACCTTCGATGAATCCATGTTGGGGTATTTCCTACAACATATATTTATATAACGCTATATATATAACGCTATATATATACTATCTAGTCAAAAATAATAGTTATAGTTACCCTATTAAATAATTGTACAGGGGCTGGTACAGTATTTGTTTCCATCAAGTATGCGTCCCACGTAAAGGTGGTTGAATCATAACCTTTTGGCGGTGTAAGCGGTAGGCCATGCTGAGAACAAAACCCAATAGGAAATATACAGGGAGAACATGAATGATAGCAAAACCAATCGGCACCACTAGCATCTTCGTCGTAACTATCAATACGAATCATAATATAATCTTCTTTTAGAACTTGCATAACCGTGGCTGCGCAAATAGCAGAAAGATTAAGAGGATCGATAGCTTCTATTTTCATTCCTTCTCTAAAGGTATATCCTAGGTGGAGATGATGATTCTTTGGCACATGAAAAAGACCATCTGCAGCATCATCTTCACACAATTTTGCTTTAGAAATGCGTTCTAAATATTCAGGATATGCATCCAACGTTTGTCCCACTCTCCTTGCCCAACCAACAGGATGTATAAGAGGAGAGTCTTCGTGACACCAAAAACCATTATCTTCGGGCGGTGAATCATAATATCTCACGTGCAATCGCTTACCAACAATTTTTTGTATTGTAGCTACTTTAACTTGAGAAATTCTGTTTTTATCTACTACTTCTAAATGAAGCCCGCATCTAAAGCGAGATTTCATACTGTCATTAACTTTATTATAGAAATTAGTTGTTAATGTTCTTGCACCGGTTAACCGTCTTCTTAAAAAGTCCTTCCAATCTTTGTACTTATTGGCGATAGCTGTGAAAACATGATACATGTGAAAATGATATTGTATAAAATGTATAAAATACAAATAATCCTATGATACTTACTGTTTGGTGGTATGAGCGGTTTCCCAATCGTGGCACACCAACCAACAGGGTGAATATCATTGGAACAAAGCGATACCCAAAAATCTTTATCTGGATTATGACCAAATCCTTCATACCTCAAAAGAGCTCTATATCCGGATATGCGTAATACAGTAGCAACCCAAAAAGAGTCAGGAAAAGCTTCGCATACTTCATCGCAGTCAGTATTTTCCACTTCAACTTTCATACCCACCGTTATGTTGTCCCATATTTCAGATATGGGTGCCTGTAGGTATCCATGTAATATCAATTTGTAATATTCATTTAATTAAACTTATGAATGTTTCTTATGTACACTTACATGCTTAAAACAAGAAACCGGTGCAGCACAAAATCCAGGTTCAACTAAATGCGGGGTCCAATCATAAGAGCCTGCCATTTCTGCAGTTCTCTTCCTCCTTACTGGTAAATCTTCAGGCATTACTGGTTCTGTTATAACCTTTTCTTCATCTTCTTTGATAGGTTCGCTCAACTCTATTTCTTTTTTTATTACCTAAGAAAAATGATTTGATTAAGAAGAAGAAGAAGAAGAAGAAGAAGAAAATATTATGTGCAATGTTATGTGTTGCATCGAATTTGAAAAGGAAATGATGAGAAGATAGGTAAAAAACCTATCGTCTTGAAGAAATATCCAAAGTGTCTTACATCTTTAGCAGATTTTGTATCAGCAGGAGACTTGGCATTCATAGCTGTTGTTGGTTCTATGGGATACGATGGGCTATACGTCGAATCTGCAGTAGAAGCAGTATGCTCTGAAGAACGTGCACATGCTCTACTACAAAATCTTCGCTCTTTTGTATAGAATGCATGTTTAACTCCAATAGCACCACATTTTTCACAAACAGCTAAATAAGGAAGAAAACGATTGTACAATGGGTAGGATTAAACATAAATAATATCAAATAAATCGTTCTATAATTACCTATGCCATCTTTACGGATAGGAATGAAGTTTAAATCGGTATGCGGTTGATAGGCAATCGGTGTCTTTAAAATAAGCCCAGGATGTTTTATAGGCTTTATTTTTCGATTTCGTAATGGCGAGCCATCATGGGAAGTTTGAGTTGCCGCATTACTTACTACCTGTTCTCTATCATCGTCAGCCATATAATCTTCTAATGTTAAATATTCACTCATTTCTTGTCTTTCCGATTGCGAGTCATATTCCTAAATATACATTTATTATTTATATTTAAATCCATATTATTATTATTATTATTAAAACTTTACTTCTTGTAATATTACTTGTTGCATCTCTTGCGTATCCATAGTTTCCATAGTTTCATCCGGTTCTGAACACTCATTTGGATATTGAGGTGCTAAATATCGTACCATAGCTGTAGGAGCCATTTGATGATTTCTAATATCATCGTATGCATGTGAACTATGAGAAAAGAATGGACTTTCGCTTTGACGAGGGTCCAACATTAACTCGTGTGTAGGTTCTCCATGAACCATCATATCCCCCATCCATACCATCCCTAATTCTGGCATTCCTGAGATGGATGCATAAACTGCAATTTCACATACAACACACACATCCATTTTTATATTAGCATCATTATTTGAACGCATACGTACGCTTTTCTAACTAAATCAAATAAAACTAACCTAACCATTATTATATACTTTACTATATACTTTATTTATATATACATATATATATATATATACATATATATATATACATATAATATATTATTTTTTCTTTATACTACAGGATATATCAAAATGTTGATATAATAATAATTAGAGCACAATTTCAAATCTAATGGAAATATTAAGTGTGTGTGTGTGTGTGTGTATTTTAATATGCCGCTATAAATATATGCGGAATGTTATTTAACCTTAATTCATAGTTTATTCGACTTAAAATGAAATAATAAATTATTTATCGCGATGATTAATCTCATCGTTCTATTGCAAATAAAATAATGATAAAATATGTAATGACGATGATCGAAAGTACTTAATATATATTAGAAAAACACATACGAACCGTTTGAGGCTTGCATGTCCATGACAAAGCGTTCTTCGTTAAATCTGTCAATGCTTTTAACCGGTATTACCGTTCTTTATGTTTCTTACATAGTATCTGTTCCATCTCGATTGATGTATAATACACCATTCATGAAAAACACGGTTAGCCTATTTAGAGTCACTTAAAACCTATTCATTTTCCGCGACATTGTGAACAATAGGACAAAACATTAGGCGGTAGGCATTTGCTTCGATATTACTCGCTTCACTATCTTGCTTTTCAGTGCTGACAATCTTTAGAAAAATAAAACTAGACGATAATTTGATTTCTAATGAATTCGCCATTTTTAAATTTCTTTTCATCATGTAGTAATATTTGTGCATGTAATTATTATAAATACTATTTATGTTAGATATTTATCAATATTTGTAATATTAGACAATTAGAAAATTGCATTAATAAAAACAACATTGGCAGTGTTTAACAACAGTGTTTAATGAAATATTACAAGTACTTTTTTTCTTCTAATATTATTATATAGAATAATAAGAAAGATAAATAATAATATAGAGTTGAATATTTGAAGGGTCTGGTTTGAACATATTGAATTACATGAATAACAGAGGAATACTGTTACCTTTTAAATATCCAACATTTGTTTATTTCAATAAAGATCAAATAATACGTTATTATATAAGTACATATGTGTATGCATATATTTAATGTCATATAGAAAGAAAAAGTACAACTTTATACTTATCATCTTTTTTTAAATCTTATTTTTCTAAATTATCATAAATTAACATAATTACATTTCATTCTATACATAGCAATTACACTATAAAAAGCTACTTTAAGTTAATACTTATACAATACTTTCAACTCTATTCGTACGGTAAAAAATAATTATTATTGTTAATAAAGTCTTAAATTTTTTATATTTTTTATATTTTTTATTAATACGATATAATATCAGATTAAAAGAACTGAACATTAGGCACTATTATTATTCGAGCAAATGTGCATTCTCATGCTATGTACGTATATATACATATTTTATTGAAATGTTTGTATATGAAATAATTATCTTATTTATTATTAATACACTCTTGTAGACTTTTTCACTTATACATTTGCAGTTTAATTACACAAGAGTTTAACAAGGCAGAAGATATCAATCGTCCAGCGATGGAAGGAAAACAGCAATCTGAAGAGTTGAAATTATCCGTACCTTGGGGACATGTTGCTGCTAAAGCGTGGGGTCATTCAGCTGATAGAAAAATTCTAGCAGTACATGGAATTTTAGACAACGCTGGAACATTCAATAGAATTATTAAATTTCTTCCAAAGGATTGTTATATAGTATGTATAGATTTACCAGGGCATGGATTTTCATCGCATTTTGATTCCGGTGTACCACTTAATTATTTTAGTTATATGTTGACTATACATCATGTATTAAACGCATTACAATGGAATACTTGCATTTATATGGGTCATAGTTTTGGTGGTCATATAGGTACAATGTTTTCTATTCTCTATCCGAAAAGAATTGAAAAATTAATATTATTGGATTCTCTAATGTCAAGGCCAACGTTAAACGAAGATTATGTTTCTAGTTTACAAGAAGCTTGCGATATTGCTATTAAAGCCGTTGAGAATAAAGTACCTCGGTTATATACCAAAGAGGAAGTGTTATATGCTTTGAAATATACAAGATTTTCAACCTTAAATTCAGAAGCTGCAGAAGCATTATTTGAAAGAGGTTTAACACAAATCAACGATTTATATAAATATAATCGTGACTTTAGATTAAAGAAATTTGTACTACCTTTCTATAACGTAGATCAATTATTGATGTGTATTGAAAAATTGTCAACTCCATGCTTAATTATTTTATCAAATTCTGCATTAGATATGAACGACAAATGGCAAAAATATATTTTAAATCAATTAAGTGGTAATAACATTTATACTGTAATTTATGTTAATGGAAATCATGATGTCCATAATAATTATCCAGAAAAAGTAGCACCATATATATGCAAGTATTTGGGTAGTAATAATAAAAGCAAACTTTAATAGGTTTCATAGAAAAATATTTTGCTAGGGGGTGATACTTTATCGTATATTATTCATTGTTTTGGTTTATATAATGCATAATTATATTAATAATATTTTATATTATATTGTTGACTTTAATTCATTTTCTAATACTAATGCCACGTGATTAATAAAAGAATTAATTCTTTTTACATAATACACATGATCTAATTTATTTTTTTTTTCTTTATTTGCTCTTAACATTAGACACACAAGATAATACTTAACCTATAATAATAATAATTAATTTTGAATTTGTATTTTACAATTACACATGCACAGTGCAATTATGCTACCAACATAAGTTATTAAAAACAAAAAATGTAACTGCACTGTTGAGAAGGAAGCTGCTTGCTAGGGAGATTTTCTCCCACGTGGGAGCCATCACGCATGCGCATGCTGACGTCTAGCTTGACGGCGGGTTTTTTAAATGGACGTAGCTATGTGCAACAATGGGTAAACGTAAAGGACCCTTCCCAGTCGTTTCCCGTGTTTTTCGTTAAAATGAAGGTGTGAATTGCGTCATTTTATATAATATATTGAATTGTAGTGCAATATTAGTGTGTTATTACGATATCCCATATTTGAGTGAAATATATACGTTTTTGTAGCAGTGCGCATGCGTGGGAAATGTGCATACTGCCATTCAGTACTCTACATATACATATGACATATTACAATACTTAGAATCATCTACATATTACCGGTATAGAAATAAAAGCGAATCGAAGAAAATAAGATAATATTGCTTGTTACTACTACATTTTTTTAGTCAAAAGACTACGGAACTTGATTTAACTAGAAATGGATCAAGAACTTGTCAACAAATTTATGGAAATAACTGGTAAGGAGGTTCTATAAGCTTTTATTATTTTTTTTTTTTTTTTATCAAAGCATCAATTCATTATATTTACTTTTCAATATATAAATACAAACCCTTTCCTTTTTCATTTTTTAACATTACTTTATTACATTTTACAAATATTTGACATATTACACAATTAAGGTTATAATTAAAAATCTATTAAGATATTACTAGTGTTTATTAATTGGTAATGTTATATCAATGTTGTTTTCCTTCTTTTAAGGAAAAAATGAAGCTACAGCGATCCAATATTTATCATTAGCGGATGGAAATGTAGAAATGGCAGTTACTTTGATGTTCGAAGAGGGACAAACGCCCCAAGTCGAAGTAGAAGATTCTGAGCCAGAAGTACGTCCTCCGATATTACCTAGACAAGAAATATTGGTTGACTCCGAACCTATGTTTTCGATTCCAAGGCTGCCTACTGCTTTCGACAGATTTAGAGATTTTGCTCTTGAAACACGTATGCATATTATATTTTCTGATCTATTACGTCTATCTATTACGATCTATCTATTATATTACAAATGTAGTTGAAGAAAACATAAATATCCTTTCGCTTACTTACACTTACAGAACGACAAGAAGAAGAAATGACTTTAAGAGTTTCCGGATTAAAAGAGAGCTCTCAACCTAAGTTGAAGCGTTTAGAAGATTTGTTTAGACCTCCAAGTAACATTTTATTCCTTGGTACCTTTGCGGATGCAAGGGAGCATGCAAAGTCTTTAAACCGTTGGTTACTAGTTAACGTTCAGGATTCTCAGGAGTTTGCTTGTCAAGTTCTTAACAGAGATGTGTGGTCCAATGAACAAATTCAAGGAATTGTTAAGGATCATTTTGTTTTGTGGCAGGTATATAGCAGCGCTTGATAATAGTTGTTATTATTATTTTATTTGAAAATCTTATCGGCTTTTTCAATAGGTCTTATCAAATACGAAAGATGGAAGAAATTACATAGATTTTTATAAAGTAATCAATTATCCGTATCTATCTGTAATAGATCCTAGAACAGGAGAATGTATAAGAAAATATAATCACATTACTATAGACAGCTTGATATCCGATTTAAATGACGTTTTAAGTGTTCACGCATCACCAGAAGGTGCTTCCAATGATGTATGCAGTCATACATCTAATAACGTGTCATTACGTGCAAAAAGGAGTCACTTATCAGAGACATCAAAAAGTGTTTGTATACCACGCCATATTTGTTTGTTTGTTTGTTTTTTTCTTTTTTATTAAAAATTTATAAAAATTATATATTAACGTTATTTCATTGACTTTATTAGGATTACGCTTCGTGCAGTCAAAGTGTACAAAATGTAGCATTCGATAGAGATTCTGGTTAGTACTTTCTGACGCTTTTCTTCTTGATCAAATTGTGTTTTTTTATTATTAAATGAATTAATTGTACGTTTTGTATTTTACAGACACTTCATGCAAACAACAACTGGATGATAGTCAACATAATAGTAATATAAATATTTCGAGCAATAGTCCATGTATTTTGAAAAAGAGAAAACGAATCGACAATACAGATCAGAAGATTGAATCTCCTAATAGGGTATAAAAAAACTTTACTTTATATTAATATTAATGCTTGGGAAATAAATTAATTGTTTTTATTTTGATGTGAATAGAAAGAAGCAGTGGTAGGCAAGATGGAAGATGATCAAACCGATATAGATGCTGGTTAGTAAACAAATTCAAAAATTCTATACACACACATTGTATGGCATTCTTAGTAGAATAGTATAGTTAGCATGGTCCTTATTAATGCACATTATTATCATTTACATTTATAATTAAATTGTAACATTACAACTTATTTTTTTTAATTATAGATAATGACAAACCGCTTTTACGATTATGTTTACGATTACCCACTGGTGACAAGGAAACACTGTCCATGCGTGCTACTAATACTATCGAAGTTAGTGTTTAATGTTTTATCATCTTCTTTAACTTTAATTACTCTGTCATTTAATATAATACTTATTTATTAATAATTGCAGGATTTTCTGAAAAAAATGGAAGACATGGGTTATCCACAAGCCGATTATACATACTTGGTCCCATTTCCAAAGACAAATATTGGTATACTTGCAGTAAATATTCCTTTGATAGATACGATTTTATTTCCATCAAATACAGTATTTATAACAAAAACGTGAATATGTCTGTGCATAGTATATTTATCTTAAGTTATTATGTTATAAATAATTAAATATTTAATATTTCTTATCCAGATATTTTGCATTGTGAAAGATCTTGAGTACCTTATCTTATACTACATGTTCAGAATTGCCACGTCTTTAAATTTATATTGTTTTCTTACTTAATTATATTAATATCTTATTTGCATTTACAAACAAAGTTGTAATACAACCACTAGAAAATTGTAGTTGTTGTGTAATACTTGTATACGTCCCTTTTTACGATTTTTATAGGAATAGTAAGTGAAAAAAAAAAAGAAAAACAAACAAATTAAAAATAAATATGTGTAGATTGCGTTTCAAATATCTAATGATTTTTATTACTGATTTCGCCCAATGTTATTCCGTATAAGTATGAACAAAATATGAGAAGTATTTTCTTTTCTTTTCAGGAGCTATTAGAATACATTTTAATGAAGTCCAACGATGGTACCATCTTATAGCGTATCAATGGCTTTCCGACAGTGTTTCAAGATGGCGTTGCAAGTACACCATCTATCCTAAGCAGGTAATGTAGTGTTCTGTAAAATGATTTGCTCCAAGATAATTAGAGAGATAAGGGACATTGATTTCGAACTTTTCTCGTCATATTTGATTAAATTAAATGGTATGGCAGTAGAAAAATGATGAAGAAGATTTCCGAGTAAAATGAGATCGGATTAAAGGTACAATTAATTTCTCCATGTATTTCGTTTATATATTTACAATTTGACAACAAAAACATTAAACGTAACAGGCAGCCTCGCTCTCAACCGGAAGGTATATTTGAAGTATCTTTCTAATAGAGCGCGAGGTCAGCTAAAGGTCACATAAATATAATTATATCCGTCATAATAAATTCATTACAATATGTATCGTGTATAAATGTCGCGCATGTGTTTGCGTAAGTGTAAGTGCGTGTATTGTGTGGCTGCACATATGTGTATTTCTGTATATATTCATATGTATATATATATATATATATATATATATATATATATATATA